AGTAATGATAAATAAATAAAAACAGACACAGCAACTCTTATACAAACTTAAAGATCTTACATACGGACACACTACTCATTGCTAGACCAACTCACTGCCAACTAACACATACTAACACATGACTCTCCCCAACAGCAGGAGGCACTGTTCTGCATTATATTTATGATGTGCGACAGGAACATCTTTTTATATTTATAGTGAGAATGGTATCTTTGCCGTGACTTTTGACTTTTTCTTACCATTGTGGCATTTATCACTACCATTGCTCAGGAATTCCACATTGTATGGGTGTCCATCGCCACCCATCAAGTGTCTCTGCTGCCTCTCAATTTCCTTCAGAAGACGGGAGTGGTTCTTTTGAAAAATATCTAGAAGGAAGACAGTAAAAGAAAACTTGTTTTATAAAACGTTGCTGTTTTTCCACACTTTTCTCTCAGTGGAAATTCCAGTACGTTCATTGTTCAATTCATGATTGAAATACACCGTGTCTGGCATCTTTTTCTAGATTTTTTTGAATCGGATGTGATTTTGGTTGAAAATAAAAAAACATTTCTGGATGACTATTAACTATAAACAAAATTGAGCTCTGTCAAATATACAGAATAGTAAATATACTGTCATTGTCAATGTCATGTTTTAGGTTCAAGTGTAGATAGTGCTGTCGAACCACTCTATTATGTCTATTACTACAGCACACATGATGTTTAAAGACTGATCCTGCTAATAAGTGCGCTGTCCATTTTCACACATGGTGACCATCAGAAGTTTAAGGCAGACTTTAAAGCCAGTGATAATGTTCATAATATTTTTTAAAAGATATATACAAAAAAGTTCAATATAAAAAAAGCTTCACAAACACCATGCAGTATGTCAGTTTTTATTGCCCTCTGCATTACAGTATTACAAAGTAAGTACAATTAACTTTTGATAATAATAACCCAATTTTCACTGTCAGACTGGAAAACTTCATTTTTCAGGTATAAGCCTGTGGAAATGAAGGTTGATTTGCATCAGTTTTTAAAACATTAATAAATATATTCTTCAGCCATCCATTCTCACATAAGATATTAAGTATTTTTTTTAACTGGAGTGGGTAAAGATTTTGACAAGTTTTAGAGCAAAGCAGCCACACAATCAAAAACAGCAG